ACCGCCGCTGCACCGCCGTCTTCCACCTTGAATCGCACGGACTCTGCTCCTAATTGGGCATCTATTGCACGGTCGAGGTCGATTTTCTTAGAAATCAGTCTCGAAAATCCTTCAACACCATAGATCTGAACCACGCGCATCTCGCCGGAGCCCTAGTCAACCGGATTAGCCTGCTCACCTCCCTCGCCGTCTTCCACGTCAATAGCAATAGGTTCTCGGCACCGCCCCGCCTCCTCTCTTCCCTGACGGACGGGCAGTTCCGAATGGCTGTGTACGTTCTGACTGGATCTAGGGATTGGTAATGGCTGTGTACGTTCCGACCGGATCTAGGGATCGGTCCGACTGACGGGGTGCGTGCCGGAAGCGGTAGTGTCGTCGGCGGGGAAGGCGACCAAGAAGGAAGATGACACAGGAGGAGAACAATCATACATGAACGAGGAGTCTGAAAAATGGATCTGGGGGCTATCTGTTTGTGAATTAGACAAGTCCAAGGGACTTATATGCAAATTAAAAAATTTCAAGTATATTGCAAATAAATGCCTGAGTCATATTTGTAAACAGATAAAAGATTATAAAATTGCACAATAATGTTCAATGCAATGCACTCTATCATGTTTGGATCTGCACATTATAAACACCCGAATGCACAAATAGCGTTAAACAAAATGCACAATTTTGAATGTTATACTGAACAATAATATTAATTAGTATACACCTTAGGACTTATATGCAAATTAAAAAGTTTCTAAGTATATTGCAAATAAATGCATGAGTTAAATTTGTAAATAGCTCACTATCATAGGTGACATTCTCTCTTTGAGAGCGGTAAATTCTCTCTTTGAGAGCGGTACACTTCCGGTGACTTTTCGATCGTCTTCCGGCACCTTTCTTCAATCTCCATTACTCTGGAATCTATTTCCCTCTTTCCGAGAGCCACTTGCTGAATTATTCTATTATTATTGCTTCATCTCTGCGAGTGTTTCTACCTATTTCAATCTAGGAGGGGAGACAATTGACTGATAACGTTATTATTGCTCAAGAGGCTTTCCACTACTTAAATAGACATTCTACTGGGCCAAACAGTTTCATGGCTTTAAAGTTAGACATAGTTAAAGCATTTGACCTGGTGGAATGGCTATGTTTGAAGAGAATAATGATCCAGATGGGTTTTCACTCTGATTTTGTTAAGCTCATTATGGTTTGTGTCTCTACTGCCTCTTTCTCATTTAAAATTAATGGCTCCAACAGTGGTTATGTAACCCCAACTCGTCGGATAAGGCAGGGAGATCCTTTATCTCCCTACTTGTTCATCATTGTGGCCGAATTGCTTACTGCTTTGATCAATAATTCTGTCTCTAATGGCTTGCTGAAGGGAATGAAATTATCTAGGAATGGTCCATTGTTATCTCATCTTCTATTTGCAGACGACTCTATCTTTTTTTGCAAAGCTGGTTTGGACCAAGCTGGTATCCTCATGAACATCTTGGAGCAGTACAGGCTCTTTAGTGGTCAAACAGTGAATCTTCAGAAGTCTGCAATTTTCTTCAGCCGCAATACACCTCAATCTCTTCAGTCATCCATCTGCAGCACTTTAAATGGCATTGTTGTTCACAGATCAACAAGGTATCTTGGCCTCCCTCTTGGCATTGGCAGATCTAAAAGAGAAGTCTTTGAGTACATTTTGAATTCAGTTAGGAAAAAGTTAACCAGTTGGCAGCCTAAATTGTTCAGCACAGCAGGTAAAGAGGTTCTTCTGAAGGCTGTTCTCCAAGCTCTACCTGTTTTCTCAATGTCATGTTTTTCACTTCCAGTGTCTCTTTGCTCTGAGATTTCTAAGCTATGTGCTTAGTTCTGGTGGAAGTCAGGTGGTGAAAATTCTAAAGGAATCCATTGGAAGAAATGGAGTTTCTTATCCTTTCCTAAGAACAGTGGAGGTTTGGGGTTCCATGATCTGCAGCTGTTTAACAAATCTCTCATCTGTAAACAACTATGGAGAATTGCAACAAATCCTGACCTCCTTGTTAGTAGGCTTCTAAAGGACAGATATTTTCCTAACTCATCCCTGATTCATGCTGCTAAAACCCAAAATGGCTCCTGGATGTGGAATAGTTGGATGGCTATGATGCCTTTCTTTGCAAAGTGGCTCAAGATTGAAATCAGGAATGGCAAAGATACTAGAATCTCATATTTCAATTGGGTCCCTAACCTGGCTGCACCTTCCCCAACTATTCTTCCCATTGCCAGAGATCATCTGATTTGGGTGAGAGACCTTTTTTTGAATAATGGCACTCAATGGAACAACTGGTTGGTTCAACAAGTGTTTAATGCATCTGAAAGTCAAGCAATACTTAGCATCTCCTCTCTTAATCCTCTCATGAATGACAGAATGTACTGGGGGCTTGATAACAAAGGGCAGTTTTCTGTTTCAAAGACATATGCTCATCTTAGCAAACTGAAAGTTTTATCCTCTGATATCCCTGAATGCAGTTCCTCATCAGATACCAAGAAATCCATCAGCTTCAGATTCTGGAACTTGAAAGTAGCTGGGAAGTTGAAGCACTTTTTGTGGAAATGCACCTCAGGTACACTCTCAGTTGCTGCTCATTTAATTAAAAGAGGAATTGATATAGACTCTACTTGCTCAATCTGTGGAGAGACTGTAGAGACAGTAGAACACCTGCTTTTTCATTGTCATAGAACTCAATTGTTTTGGAAGTTAAGCCCTATTCAATGGGATGGCATAACTGACTATAGAGATTCTTTTAAAGCATGGTGGTACCAAGTGTGCTCTGTTGATCACTCTGAAGTTGTTGAAGCTCGAATACAACTCACTACATACATGCTTTGGTGGCTCTGGAAATCAAGAAATTTATGGATTTTTCAAAACCGATTAATTCCAGCTCATGCTCTGCTCCAAATGGCGATGGCTGACTGGATGGATTTCTCTGCTGCATAGGAGTTTGTTTTGTTCGACTTATCTGTTTTTTTAGTAGCCTGTTCTTTTGTGTTTTGGTCTGTTTCTGTATTTTGGTTCCGTTTGTTGGTTTGCTTGTTTGGAATGACACCCTTACTAGGCTTTGTGGCAGTGGTGGGGTGTTATTCTTTGACTAGTTCTTAGTTCTCTTGCTTTCTATTTTTGAGGTTCTAGACCGCCTGCGTGCGTGTCTCTCATTTTTTCTTTTTTACTTTGCCAGTGGTTGATCTGTTATGTATTCGAACTTGGTTCGCTTTGAGTTTTTATATAGTTGATTCTATCGTTTTGGGAAAAAAAAAAATTGTAAATAGATAAAAGATTATAAAATTACACAATAATGTTCAATGCAATGCACTCTATCATGTTTGGATCTGCACATTATAACGCACGGAATGCACAAATAGCGTTAAACAAAAACGCACAATATTGAATGTTATACTGAACAATATTTAAATTGCTATACACCTTATTAAGATTTTCTAAAATTGAAATGCACCTAAAAAACACCCGTTCTACATAAGGTTGACAGATAGATTGTCCAAAATATTCGATATAGGTAGTTGATTATTTACTTTTAAAATAATGATTATGATTATTCGGTTCAATTTCAGGTTTATTTTTAAAATAATCGAAACAACTGAACTGACCGAAATATATAAAAAAATGTCTTGTTTTTTTTTTTAATTTATACATATTATGTATTTTGGCAACAATAATTAAACGTTAAAATAAAATTATTAGAATTTTAAATATACTTTTGTAATATAAATAATAATTTATTTTTTATTATTTTGGTTAACTCTTTTAACCAACCGAATAAATCGATTATTTCAGTACAGTTTTAGTTTGATTTGGGACAACGGCTTGTCCAGTTCAATTTTTCCAAAAGTTCGGCATTATTATTTCGGTCAGTTGGTTCGATCAATTAACAACCGTAAGTGCGATGATATTTTGGTAAAATTTTAAGAATGCACAATATTGTTGGATGGAGTGCACAATATTGTTGGATGGGTTGCACATCAATTTCTATGTAAATGCACATTACCGTATGTTATGTGCACCAACCCCCTCGTGAAAAATACAAATTACACTGCTACGATATTACGCACTTTTTATACGTATTAACGTGCATTTAATCTATCGGTGCATTTCGTTGCGCGAGGAGAGTTGTACAAATTTTGACTAAAACCGGGGAAAAGAAAAACACAAAACAAAAGGCAATTATTACATTTTTATTTCGGTTTTTCATGTCAGTCATTCCCGGTTCACTTTCGACTTTTTTTTTTAGAAAACAACGATAAAACTGATCAAGTTATATTAAAAATATAATTTTTTAATATATAGTAAATTTCAAGGCAAAAAATAGTATAAAACATTAAAATACTAAATACGTTTTTGTAATAAAAATAAATAATTTATTTCGTTTCTTTTGGTCAATTCGGTTAACTATCCGAATAAACTGATTATTTCAATCGATTTTAGTTGGAATAAAAGTTCGATTGGTTCAGCTTCTTTCAAAAAAATCGAATTGGTTATTTAAATATTGACGTTTCGGATCGTCTGTTCGATCGAACCAGCAGATAAAAACTATTTTTGAAGTCTTTATCGCTTTGATGTTTTGGTACTTAGTTTAATTTATAATATGCATATACACGCGCGATATTGTGCACTTTATTTGCTACTATTGTGCATTTAGAATTTTTTATAAATTATAAATGTGACTCATATACAAAATTGTAATATATTTTAAATTTCAAAAAACTACATACAACTCAATCTGTTTTATCTAATTTTCCAAACAACCTTCATCCCCAATTAGATATTCCCACAGGAGAGCTTCGCGTGGGGCTGGCAGCGTGTTATCCTTCTCGTCCGACGACGGTGGCGACGACAGAATCGAAGATCAATCGGCTACCTTTGGTGCTCAATCCCCTTACGATTTCAACCCATTCATCTTCCTCAACACATCTACGTCAATGACCTCCCGACCCACTGGCCCGAATTTCCAGGTCATCTTCGATGGCTCCTACAGCAGCGCCGTTGATATGGACGACGGATGATCTATTTCGAGTTGCCGACGAATTTTGGGGATTTGTTTGCCGGCTCCAATTTTGGAGCAATTTTCGACTTCCACTGTGCCGCCACGCGAGGTGGCTGATATCTGGTTGTAGTCGGTGCTAGAGGATGGCGGATGGTGGCGATTGTGGTTGGCAGATTGCAGTGGTGTTGAGTGGAGGATGGCTGAAAATTGGGCGCTGGGCAGAAAATAATGCAATGTCTGATCGAGGGAGAAAGAGGTGGTTGGGCTGGTGTGGTGTCTTGTAGGGTGGGGTAGGTTGCACTGGTAGTGACTGTCCGTGCCGACGGCCGGCAGCGTGGTGGTGGGCGGAGGCGGCGGATGGGGACTGTGTGAGAGCACCGTGTGTGTGCGTGAATCACCATGAATAAGTGTGTGTGTGTGTGCGTGCGTGTGAGAGAGAGAGGTGGGGAGAGAGACGGTAAGGAGAGAGAAAATGTGTGGTGAGTGGGTCCTACATGATGTACGTGTATTGACCAACTTGCCCTTAATTATTGGTCAAATACACATATTTGACCACAATATGTTAAAATAATTACTAGATTGCCATTACTGATTGACCATAATTTGACTTCATCATAACCATTGATCTAATTGATCTCATGGTCCAGACTTATTCTTATTTCTTTCATTATCTTTCTTTCTTATTTGATCCTTTCTCTCTCTCTCTCTCTCTATATATATATATATATATATAGAGAGAGAGAGAGAGAAGGGATCATATGAGAAAGAGAGATAGTGAAAGAGATAAGAATGAATCTACACCATTGGATCTATTAAGTCAATGCTCATGATGAAGTCAAACTTTCATAAATAATGGTCATTCATTAATGGCATTCTGGTAATTATTCGAACTATTGTGGTCAAATATGTATATTTGACCAATAATTAAGGATAAGTTTGTAATTACACCTATACCACACATGGATCCCCACTTTCTTTTTTATTCACATCTCTCCTTCACATTCAGATCCAATTTCACACACACCCACACACACTCCAGCGGGCCCGGCGGAAATCAACCCACGAACCACCGGTCACCGTCGCCGTCACCGGACTGCCGCTGTTGCCACTGAAACCATTCCGTCGAGCGTCGTCAGCCATCCCCAACAGCACCCTCCCTCTCCCGTCCTCCCGAACACACCGGAGTCAACCCGCCACAAACTACCGGTCACTGCCATTTGCCTAATCTCTCTCGTCGCTGCCGATTTTTCGCCGTCGTTGCCGCCGCTAACATCCCGTCGAGCACCGTCAGCCATCCCAGCACCACCACAACTGTCACCTGCCCCTGTCTTAAACCCACTCAGCCCGCCCGTCGAGCGCCACGTTCCGGCGAGTTGCAGAGGAATAGTAGGGGGATGGCGACCTGAACGGGATGATCTCGCCGGCGATTTGAACGGGAGATGGGAAGCGGCTGCCAGAAATGCTATTAGGGCTGAGGAATTGTGTCGTGAAGTGCTGTGTGAATAAATTAGGTGCTATGGGTGAATTTTTATTTAGGTTACTGATTTATGCGAAAGAATTGGGTAGAATTGCTATGTGAATGATTTTGGATGCTTTATTCGAAAGAATTGGGTGAATTGTTATGTGAATGATGTAGGTGAAAGAATTGGGTGAATTGCTGGTGAATGATTTTGGCTGCTTTATTCGAGAGAATTGGGTGAATTGTTGTGTGAATGATGTAGGTGAAATGTAATTTGGTGTGGTTTGGGTGTGAATTGGATTAGGGGCTAGTTTATGGAAATTAGATTAATGTTGGGGACTACTTTGTAATTTTTTTGAACTTTATTTACAACATAAATTAATTAGTGAAATAAATATTTATACTAAATTATTAATAATTATATTAAATTATTAATAATTTAATAAATATAAAGATAGTGATAAGTAATTTTTAAAATCTAAAGCCGACATTAAACCCAAATAAACAAACTTTTAAAGTTTGAAAATTATATTTGATCTAACATATAATGTTTCGAATCAAAAATATTATTTTGTTCAGGTTTGATTGCTAATATGCAGTCTGTGAGACATTAATTTGATATTTGCATAATAATAATGTCCATGGCCTTGATCGTAAATGTGCACGACTGCGAGCCATTAATCGTACTGATTGTATTTTTTTATCCCAATCCAAATTAAAATCGAAGATAAATGGTCAAGTTATTCAGTCAATTATTCGATTTACCCGAAATAACTGAATTAACTTATTATGTGTATTTATAATATTGTAATTAGTATTTTTAAATTAAAATTAAAAATAGATAATTGTTAATAATATAAAAATTCGAATCGAAATTTTAAGTCTTGTCAATTATGATCGCTATTGTGCAAAGAATGTACAAAATAATATTTTTCAATGTAGTTTGATTTTTATTTCAGTTATTTAAATAAAAATAAATGACATCGTACAGAAATTCCAAATATATAAAAAATAATAATAATAGAAATATAGTTCGATTTTGTGCAATCTGATAGACATTTATGTGCAATCCGTATAACCATAATGTGCACTCGCAATAAATAAAAAATATAGAGGAAAAAATAATATCATTTATAATTAAAAAAAAAATATAAATAAATAAAAAGAAATCGGTAATACTTTTCATATAGTTAGACATATTCGGTTATTTGTTTATTTAAAAAATAACTAATCCCGACATTAACCAATTAATATTACTCACTCGATCGATTAGAATTACTGTAATTTTAATACTTGTAACGTGTTGTGTTATAAGATGCAACGAATTTCTGTATAAAGTGCAATGTATCGATATATAAAGTGCAATACTGAGATTTTGGTATTTTTTTACCAGTTTTTTTATTTTTTTTGTTGGAAATATGATATGATGGGCAGTAAAGTAATATGTCACTCAATTTTTTGTATTTATATTGCGTGATATTTCGGCGGGAGTTGTTGACATTAATTTTGAAGAATGGTTATAAAGTGCAACGTGTTGTATTATAAAGTTCAACGTATTGTCTTATAAAGTGCAATATCTGCTATATAAAGTGCCCTAGTGTCGACATCGCATCGAGATAATTAAAATCTTAAAGGTAAACACAAATAATCAAACCAAAATATAAAATTCAAACTCATAACTTTAAGTGTCCGTTTCGAATTGCTATAGTGCAATTTAACAGTCACTAATGTGCAATTCGCCTAACATTAATGTGCATTTGAAACGCGACTATTTGTATAAAATATATTTAGTAAACGGCTATTTGTATAAAATATATTTAGCATTTTATTATTTTTATTTAATATTTCATATTATTTTTGTTTAAAAAAATATGATATATACATATGTATAAAAGTATAAAAATATATATAAAAAATAATATTTTTATATATTTTATATAAATTACAAATTTTGCCCGCGGGCTATATTGTACTATATCAAAACTCTTAAAATTTTAGTTAAATTAAATATTTGACCCTAATAACTAAACTGTAATTTAGATAAGATTATTATCAAAATCTAAATTAAATTCCCAAATAGATCTGAAATTGCTCCGTCTCCTACGAAAAAAAAGAATTCTCCTCCGTCTCCTTCCCAAAACCTTCGCCAGCCACCGAGCAGCCGCTGGCCTTTCTCAGCCACCGAGCAGCCGCCGGCCTTCTTTAGATTGTGTGTTCATCAATTTTATGTTTGTTTTTGTATTAATCGAATCTGGCCGGGTAACTTGCTGTGCTTGCCGGAATTATCCGCTCGTGGGCGGCTGAATTTCGGCCTCCAAACGCTCGAGGTCGGAGGTGATCGGCAGTGATTTGGATTGCAGCCGAAATTTTTGTTTTTTTTCTCGGGTCTGACCGGAGGTAGAGGACGGAGGGCGCGTTGATTGGAGCAGTCATCGGATTGTTGGAGGCAGCTTACGGAGGTGCAGCGACTGCGGTCCGACGGCGGCGCAGCGGCGGTTCTGACGGCGTATGGCGGCGGTGCATATGTTCTATTGTGTGTCGTGAAGTGTGTATGCGTGAACTGTGTTTATGCGTGTCAATGTTGAAGAAGGTGATGGCAGGCTGAAAGCGGCGGCGCCGGCGGTGGCTGGTGGCGGCGGACCGGCGGAGGTGTGTGTGTGCGAGCAGAAAGTGTGTGTACTGTGTGTGGTGTGTGTTACTGTGTGTACTGTGTTTGTGAGAGGTGTTTGTGCGTTGAAGACGATGTTGAATGAGATAGGGGCACACTTGACACATGTCAATGATAAATTGTCCATTATACCCTTAATGAGTATAAAATATTGAGTTTATTACAACCATTGGATGATCAGATTTTATGGTCCAGATTTATTCTTATTTCTTTCATGGAGAACCATTTTCACTAGAGCGTGACCCTATATATATATATATATATATAGAGAGTTGGGGGTTCACATGAGAATGGTGCTTAAGGAAAGAAATAAGAATAAATCGTAGCAATTAGATTAGATAATCTAATGGCTAAAAAAAAGTCAAATTTATACCTTCATTAAGGGTAA